TCAGCAGTCAGCAGTCAGCAGTCAGCAGTCAGCAGTCAGCAGTCAGCAGTCAGCAGTCAGCAGTAGTAGTAGTAGTAGTAGTAGTAGTAGTTAGTAGTAGTAGTAGGAGGAGGAGGAGGAGGAGTAGGTAGGTAGGTAGGGGTCAGCTAAGCTTTACGCCACCTGAGAAAGCATTCAAAGAACTTCAGGTGGCCTAAGCCCCGGCCTGCCCTGCAACAGAACAAAAAGATATAAGAATAAGCAGAAGCGGTTCCTCCTCACGCCCATCAACACCTTCAGCTTTGTCATTGTCATCATCACCGTGATTGTGTTGACAATCTTTCAACTGGTCTAAGCTCGGTGGGCTAAGCACTGTAGCCGATTCACTAGCAAGTTGATGCGCAGCTGTCATTGCAGGAATAAACCTGTCCATATTTCGAAGATGTATTGCCCTCAGCAAGCAGGACAGTGCTGGCAGTGCTGGACTCAAAGAACTAGGAAGTCTAGTCTAGTGGCAGTTTGCCTGAGAAAAAACAAAAGGTAAGAAGACTAAGACAAAAAGATGCCAGTGACAGTGACACCAGAGCACAAAGTTGTGAACAGGTAAAGCTGGTGTATGGTGTAAACCGGTCGCCCCATACCCATGACAGTCCGCGGTCGCATAACTTCTATTTGTCCAGTTTGTTGCTGCATTTGGCAAAGCAGCGCCATGCCTTTCTGAAATTCTTCTATCTTGCAGGGACAGCAGTCGGTGCCGGAGAGTACGTTTAAAAAACCACACCCCCAAAAAATCACTGGATCCTTAACCGGTGCCGCCGAATTTGGAGGGTGAAGTTTGTTTGCCACACGCCTGATCTCCTGTCCCGTGTCGCAAGACTGGTTCAGCGCTGAGCATGAAGGATTCATAAGCTCTTTTGGCCAGATCACAGGCCATTGCTTGCCAGGGCTAACGACAAAAAAGTAAAATGGTGTCTTGGTATCTTGGGGTTGGGTTTATGTCATGGAAGCATTTAGTAGTTAAGCCATCCATATCTAAAACAAACACAGAACCCTTGCCCGGCCCCCAGTTCTTTAAGCTTGTGCTTTGCAAACGTGTTTGCATGCTTGCATGGTTCCGAGTTGCGAGCCATTTGTGTAGCTGTCTGTCAAACAGTCTTCAACCACAAAGCAGCAACAATCCTCAACCAACCTTTCCATCCTCGTCCTTCGCTCTACATTATCGCAACCTTGCCTCGTCTAGATGTCTGTAAGATCTCCACATATGGGACTGTCGCTCTGTATATACCGTTGCCTTGTTTGAAATACACCCTAATTAGTCCATCCCTATTGTTTCTTTGCCCAAAAAGCACTTGCGCTATATGTGTTGGTTTCTGATGTCTTCTTCAAACGCCCTCATCTTGCGGATATATTTTTGAAATCCCTGAATTTTCTCCAATGACTTTTTAAATTTAGCACTTTTGACCCACGGGATTCCACGTGTAAGGTGTGTGGCCCCTGCGAGAGATGACACACATCCGGCCACCACGACTTGCCAAGGATGCGGTCCACATCGACACACATCCCGCCGTGGCATTCTTCAGTGGCGGCAGGCCTTTCATACCACACATCAAAGTGCATGGAATCCGAATTGGCATGTAAAACCTGTCAGGCATAAATGCAACCAAATACTGTCAGTATGAACTGCGCCCAAAACTTCAACCTTAAGTACAAACCGACCTGCCAACAAAACAATCAACTGCAACCAGTGTTGGGTTATGATGAGTGGTGTATGATGAGTGATGTACGATGAGTCTTGTATGATGAGGGGTGTACGACGAGTGGTGAATGATGAGTGGTGTATGTTGAGTGGTGTATGACGAGTGGGACCCACGTGTGGAGTCCTTGTACATCCCGACGTCTCGCCAGTTCTCCGCTTCCAGCTCTACAGATTGCTCCGCGTACTAAAGTTGGACTAGAAAGTCGCCAGTTCTCACCATCCAGCTCCACAGATACTCCGC